CTACTACTACTACTACACTACGACTACTACTACTGCTACTACGACGACGAACGTCCTACCACTAATACTACTGCTACTACGTACTACTTTACTACTAATACTACTACTACTACACCACTAATAATACTCTGCTGCTACTACTACTAGTGGGGGACTACTACTACTACTACTACTACTACTACTACTACTACTACTACTACTACTACTACTACTACTACTACTACTACTACTACTACTACTACTACTACTACTACTACTACTACTACTACTACTAACTACTACTACTACTACTACTACTACTACTACTACTACTACTACTACTACTACTACTACTACTACTACTACTACTACGACTACTACTATTCTTGCGACTACAACTACGACTACGACTACGAATACGATTACGACTACGCCTACTCTCCGCTCGTGAAAAATAAAAACGGTGAAACTTGGTCTCGGCTAAGGTTGATCGGAAGTTTAGGCTCCCGACTCCGCACTTCCAAAAACTAGATCGGCCCGCTTACACTCTCTTTTCCTAAAGCATACTTCAAAATGAGACTGGATTCCTTCCACCCCAACATACGCGTGCATCTGGTAGTGTGGCGGCCGGCTCGGCTACGCTGACGTTGCTCCGATTGGGGCCCATACATATAGGATCATTCTAGCGTGAGTCTGCACGGTCAGCCCAAGTCACTCTGGGCTCCGGATTTACCCAAGGTCAGTCTGGGATCAGCCGACTGACAAGGGCCGGATCCCAGAGTGACCCCAGACTGACCCTGGACTGACCCTGGACTGACCCCAACTGACCCAGGACAGACCCCAGACTGACCCTGGACTGACCCCGGACAACCCCGGACTGACCCCGGACTGACCCAAGACTGACGGCAGACTAACCCCGGACTGACCCCGGACTGACCCCAGACTGACCCCAGACTGATCCAGGGCTGACCCCGGACTGACGCTGGACTGACCCTGGACTGACTCTGGACTGACCCCGGACTGACCCCGGCCTGACCCCGGACTGACGCTGGACTGACCCTGGACTGACCCCAGACTGACCCCGGAATGCTCCCGGACTGACCCCAGACTGACCCTGGACTGACTCCGGACTGACCCCGGACTGACCCCGGACTGACCCAGGACAACAACCCTGGACTGACCCTAGACTGAGCCCAGACTGACCCTGGACTGAACCCGGGCTGACCCAGGGCTGATCCCGGGCTGACCCCGGGCTGACCCAGGGCTGACCCCAGGCTGACTTCGGGCTGACCCCGGATTTAACCCTGGACTGACCCCAGAGACCCTGGACTGACCCCGGACTGACCCAAGACTGAACCCGTACTGACCCTGGACTGACCCTGGACTGACCCTGGACTGAACCCGGACTACAATGGCAACAACACCATCATCTCAGCAACTCTCCCAGGGACATAGACTAAATATTCAAGCCCGAGCTCGGTAAAACTAGATTCTGTAAAAAAATAAATACCGGCTAAATTAGGTCGCTAGGTCGGCATCTGATCCAAATTGTAGACGAGTGGAGTGTACGACTACTACTCCTACGACTACTGCTACTACTGCAACTACTACTACTACTACTACTACTACTACTACTACTACTACTACTACTACTACTACTACTCCTACTACTACTACTACTACTACTACTACTACTACTACTACTACTACTACTACGACTACTCCTACTACTACTACTACTACTACTACGACTACTACTACTAAACTACTACTACACTACTACTACCCTACTACTACTACTACTACTACTACTATACTACTACTACTACTACCCTACGACTACCACTACCGAAACCACTACACCACTACCCTCACTACGACTAATACTCTACTACTACTACACTACTACTACTTACGACACTGCTACTACTACTACTAACTACTACTACTACTAACTAACTACTACTACTACTACTACTACTACCCCTACCACTACTCTACCACTCTACACTACTAACTACTACTACTACTACTGACTACTACTACTACTACTACTACTACCACGACTACGACTAATACTACTACTCTACTACTACTATCTAACGACTACTACTGACGACTACTTCTACTACTACTACACTACTACTACTACTAACTACTACTACTACGACTATACGACTACTACGACTCTACTACAATACTACTACTGCTACTACTACTACTACTACTACGACTACACTACTACTATCTAACTACTACTACTTCTACTACTACTACTACTATAAAACTATACTACTACGACTACTACTACTACTACTACTACTACTACTACTACGACTACTACTACGACTACTACTACTACTACTACTACTACTACTACTACCACTACCACTACCACTACTTCGACTACGACGAAAACTACTACTGCGATTAATACCACCACTACTACCACTACTACTACTACTACTACTACGCCGAATTACGACTACTACTACGACGACTACTACTCCGACTACTACCA